TGGGTAAGGCTTTGTTTATTTTGTTGCTGAAATATCCAAAGTTTTTCGAAGAAGGAAAAGTAAACAAGTGAAGGAGGCACCTGCCTTCAGAGAGTAATGTTTTTAAAGAAAGTGTATAGACTTTATTATCAAAAATAAAAAATATTTTTGAGAACATCTGTTTTTTGGGTTGGCAAAGGGATTAGCGGAAAGAGTTTATATAATATAATATACTTATATTATATTATATTTGTATTATATTATACTTTTATTGCATCATGGTTTGACAATATGAATTTAAACAACTTTTTTTATTTTTAGTTACTTTAAATATCAAAAAAGCATTCAATTTCAGCTTTACTTGATAAAAGTTCAAGAAAAAAGTCTAAAACAAAAATTTCCTACAATTGTGATTAATGTAATGGATCATTTGTTGATGCTCAAATTGAATTTTCTCATAGATATCAGAAATCCAAAAAAAAAAGTCATAATAAAAAAAGAATTTATATTTTAATCCAGAACAAGAAACATTTGGCAAAATCAAATTATATCTTTAGGTAATAATTAGAAAAGCCTAATACAAGATCATGATGATATTTTTAATGCTAATATTCTTGATATTAATATTTTTAATGATGATATTATTGAAAATGATAGTGCAACTTTTGATAAATTAAATGACCTATTCGAAGATTATTCAGCATTAGGTTTTTTAGATTCTGAATTACCAGAGCCAAATAAATTTATCGATACTAATAGCTGATTTATATGGATATTATTATGGATTATAAACTTTAAAATAAAATTTAATTTATCAGATAATGCAATAGAAGCACTTCTAAAGTTTATAAAATTAGTGTTAATTAAAATCGGTGATGATGAATTTAAATCTTTCTATAGATCTTTGTATATTATCAAAAATTTTCTTGGATTGTCGGATCAATTCATTAGCTTTGTAGCATGCCAAAAATGTCACAAGTTATATAAACAGGATGAAGTGATCAATTTTCAACAAAACAATCAACCGTCTATCATGAAATGTGTTTATGTTGAATTTTCAAACTTCACAACTCGAAGAAAATATTGCAACACTTCATTATCTACACAATCAAATTGTTAAATGAAAATATAATCAATCAATCAAAATTAATTTTTTTTTATATTATTATTCGGCACCAATTAATACAAATGTATTAAAATCCAGGTTTCGAATCTAGTCTTTGGCATTGGACAAATCAGTCAAATTTTAATAAATATCTTTGTGATATTTATGATGGCAATATTTAAAAACTTTTGAAGATGAAAATTCGAAATTATTTTTTAGCAAAGAAAAGGCAGATTCATACTTAAGATTGATGCTAAATATTGACTGGTTTCAACTATACATGTGGTAGAAATTGATAGATCCTTGATACAATTTGATGCAATTATTTGATACAATTAATTGAGTTACTATTAAAACATATAAAATAATTAAGTTAGATGCAATTATTTTTGAGGATTTTGGCAATTAAGTCAATAGCAAAATAATTTATACCATATGTATAGTTTTAACCATATGATAACAAAACATATAGTACTGGTGTTATAGAGAGGAGTTGACTTATATTGTCTCTCTTCTTATATAGCAATCATTAATCTACCACATGAAATATGGTTTAAGTGCGAAAATATACTGATTCTTGGTATATAGATATTACCAGGCCCTAGTAAATCAAGTTTGCATCAAATAAATCATTACCTTTCATCAATTGTAAATGAATTGTTGCAACTATAGCAAGGAGTAATGTTAGATTTTATTGCCAAAAATAAGAATGGAAAAATAATTTAGGCTGCTTTAATTTTAATTTCATGCGATATTTCTGCAGCACGAAAAGTATGTGAACATATTTTGACACTAATATCATGTCATTACTATAAGAAAAAAGCAAATTATATCAATAATCAATATAATTCTAGTGGTATGAATGATATGAATGAATGGTTTATACCAAGGGATTTGACAACCCATAGACGAAATTCTATTGAATAAAGAAGTTGTAGTTCTAATGCTGCATGAAAACGATTTGTTAGTGAAATTATATTAGGTGATCAGAACTTTTTTATCTACTATACTTTAATCTTATTCAGTATTTAGTTATCGATCCTATACATTGTCTTTTTTTGGATATCAGCAAATAGCTTGTTAAATGAATATGGATTGAAGAGAGTATATTAACAAACAATACATTGGATGAAATACAGTCAATGATGGAAAAGTTTCAAGTATCATTAGATGTTGGACGAATCCCAAGAAAAATAAATATTAATGAAGGTTTTTCAAATTTTACTGCTGATTAGTGGCGAAATTTCTTTACAATATATGCAACCATCATTCTATAGAATATCTTTCAGATACAGATCATAAAATTTTAATGAATTTTGTTAAAATATGTCAAATTTTAGTATATTGAATTATAAGACAAAACTTATTAAATGAAGCATATAAAAGGTTAACCAAAGTTATTAAATTAATCGAACAAAAATATGGAACAAAAAAAATCACACCAAATCTTTATCTTTTCTTGCATTTGTATAAATGCATATATGATTATGGACCATTATATATTTTTTGATGCTTTTCATTTGAAAGATGAATGATATACTTGATAAGTTTTTAGTATATATTAGTTTTATTACTTACAATATTCATTAATAAACTTTAATATAGATTCTTTGCCAAATAGTTATCGAAAAATTGAATTGAAATTAATGCAAAGACTAATGAATGACCATCAAATTTTACATTTAACATTAACTTATTTAAATAAAATAGGATTTGAATTTCTAAATAATGGATCAAATGTTGGCTCAATTTCTGAACTGGATCAATTTTCAATTGATAAATTATCGATTTTTAAATAATACATATAATATTCATAAGACAGTTACCAATGGATCAAAAAAATTTTCAGGTGAATTATTGTATTCAAAGAAATTGAATTTAATATTACCTGCCAAAATATTGAATTTATTAGTTGAATATTATAAGGCTTTATATGAAACAATGAACTTTTAAGACTATTTACAAATAATATTAATGATTTGATAGTTATTCAGAATAGAGCAAATCAATATGGAAGATGCCAAATAGGAAGTGAAATTTTTGATTCTCTTATGTCTTTACAAAATATAAAGGGTTCATTTATATTAGCCTAATTTGTGAATCATGATGAAAGTATCGATTTATATCCGGAACAATTTCAATTTTTTTTCATACATTCAGTTAATTTTCTGAATAATATGGTATGTCATAAATTGGCTTTTATTTGATGGTTTAAACCAGTTAATTTGGCAGATATGAGATTTTATTTTGACTCAAAAAATAAAACGAATGTTGAATTATGGAATACTGAATTTTATCCAATTAAATATAAATGTATAATTCCTGTTTACAATATTTTTGACCGATTTATTCCATTTATATATAAAATATTAAATCAACATAATTCTTGTAAATATTTAGCTATAATTTTACTAAACTGCAAGTATAATATTTAAAATCACTAAAATTCGACTATAATTAGGCATAAAACAATTTTTATCTAAATTTAATTTTTTAAAAATAATTTATTGTAAATTTTATTTTATTTTTTTTTTATAATTATTTTATTATAATTAATTACAAAAAATAAAATATTATTTTATAATTCGGCATATGCCGAATTTTTGCTAAATGGTATTATACCGAATGGTTGCCAAATAGTTGTATCTGAATGTTTGATGAGTAGCAACATGCCAAATGATACTATTTTGATTAGTGTATTATATATTTTTTGATATTTTTTATTTGAAAAAATAAATAATATATTTGATAAGTTTTTAGTATATATTAATTTTATTATTTACAATATTCATTAATAAACTTAGAATATAAATTCTTTGTCAAATAATAAACAAATAATATATTATTTCCATAAATTGTATCTAAAGACTTAATGTTATAGATAAATAAGTTGAATTAAAAAGATTTATATATAAAATTTCAATTATAATAAGTCTAATTGAGGGTTTTAAAAAAAAAATAAAAATAAAAAAATAAACTTAAACTATTTTTTAAAATAGGTTTTTATTTGTGAAACAAGATTTTTTTTTATTCTTTTTACAAGCAAAATAAACTTAGTTTAAATTATAATATGGGTACACTTTCTTGATATTGTGATAAGAATCACGAAATTACAAATAATGTAATGGTAACAACATAAATAAAAAATTTCTTAGAATAAGGTAATTATAGATTTTATTAATAGTAATTACAAATTTATTATTAGATCGCGATATGCAGAATTCCATAACGGTTTAGTTCTTGTCCCAGTCAAACGATTCAATTATTCAATTATTATAAGGAAACTTGCTTATCCTGATTTCACAAAAAGGATTTTATATATTAGTCCCGAAACATAAAATTAAAACGGATATATCATAATTGATAATTGATTTACAAGATTGAAAATAATATTTCTCTATCGAGTGAAGCTTGAAAGAAAATCCCCGAGCGCACGGAAATCCGTGAGAGTGATGACAGTAAAAGATAGAGATGAGAGATAACACAGGTGTGGAAGTTGCAGAGAAGAGAATAAGTTATCTAATGATTAAGAAAAAAGACTACGTGAAATAGAAATAAAGTATATGAAGTTTATACAATATCTGAAATTATATGTACAGTATTCTATAGTAGAAATTAGGAAAGAAAATTGAACAGGATTTTTTATTTACTTCATGCATTTATTTTGGTGACCCTGGTGATTGAGGGTGAGTTCACGTTTATACACTCGCGAAATTGGATTCTAATATGCTATATTGCACAATGGTATTTAAATACGTTATACTCATTGTACAGACCACGTTTATCCTTAAAAGACAAACTGAGATTGTTGTACAAGCGCCCAAGCTTATTCAAAATTCCTTTTTTTCTGGCCTTTACCCTAACTTTACATATATATTTTGGAATTTTGCTTTCCACGAAAACAATATCTGTAAAAATGACCACAAGCAGCAATGGTAAAACCAGGGAGGTTATTAAACGTAAATTGGTTATTGTTGGAGATGGTGCTTGTGGAAAAACCTCTTTATTATCCGTTTTCACATTAGGTCGTTTCCCAAAGGTAAGCTTGGAATGTCTAGACTTTTATTTAATGAGCGCTCTTCTAACTTGTATATTTTTTTGACTCTTTTCAATAAAAAAGGAGTATGTAAGTTTTAGATCTAAAAGCACAGAGCTTTATTCTTTTTTCTAAATTTTTATTTCCTGTTGAGATCCAATTTATATCTCGTCAGGTCAGACTCTTAAACAATTTACACTGATTTGATAGATCCCAACTGTATTTGAAAATCGGGTGACTGAAATCAAAATCGACGGAAAACCAGTACAACTGGCGTTATGGGATACAGCGTAGGTTTTTTAATTAAATTATATTGCAAAAAAAAAAAGGTTTATGTTTAATTTCTAATAAAAATTTTTTCTTCATAATAAGTGGACAAGAAGAATATGAGGTTAGTTCAGCGTTGATAGTTTAATCGTGGATGTGCTGCGGTACAATGTGATTATTCAGCATCTATAGATCTAACTTTGTATCTTTTAAGCGATTGAGGCCACTCTCCTATTCTAAAGCTCACGTCATCCTGATTGCATTCTCAGTCAGTTCACCAGATTCGTTCGAGAATGTCAGTGATAAGGTTCGTAACTTGCTTATTATATTAATAATAACTAGATATTAGATATACTTATAAAAATTATTACTTTTGCAGTGGATTGATGAAGTAAATAGTCTTTGCCCGAACGTACCTGTCATTTTAGTTGGATTAAAGAAGGATCTAAGAGAAGACGATGAAACTATTGCAGATATGAAGAAAAAAGGCATATCATTTGTGGAAACAAGACAGGTGAGATTTTTGAATCGTTTATTTCTGATACGAAATGGGAAATAGCGAATTTAATATTTCTTATCATATAGGGTGAAATAACGGCTCAACAGATAGGTGCTAAGAAATATATCGAATGTTCTTCATTAACTGGCGAAAATGTGGATAACGTTTTTGAAGCCGCGTCGCGGGCGGCACTCTTGACGCAAGGAACTAAAGAAGGATGCTGTGCTGTCCTGTAACAAGATATCAAAAAAATACTTATTTGACACTTTTACGCGAGTTTCTTATTTCTTTGGAAGAGATGAAAGATTTGATTTGTACAACACGGTTTTCCATCAAAAAAATTTATCTATAATTCTTATATACATATAACAATTGTGTAATAATTTATAACATACGAACATATATATATAAAGTTGTATTATACATCTCTTCAATTAGACAGTTTAGTTAATTTATGTCATGTGACATATTAATACTAGCCCAGTTTTGGTTTACTCGTGTTTCATTTAATAGTTAGTAGTTATTATATAAATTTATAATAAATATTTTTAATTATTATATAATTTCTTATTATTAGATAAAGTACCGTATTTGAAGCTTATTGTAACAATTTAAATTATTTTATTTCGTTAAAATAACATTAAAATGCAAAATAAATTTAATAATTTAACAGTTAATACAATTATTTGGATTTTTTTTAATTTATAAGCTAATTTAATTAGATAATAAAATTAAAAGGTTGAAGTAATTTCCCATATATTTATACATATTATTGAAAAATACTTATATGTAATATATATTTCTTATATGCAAAGTTTACAATAAGTTATATATATATATATATATTTACTTCTAATTTAATTTATTCAAGTCAATATATAAAAAATTTAAAAATTATATTTAAAGTCTTGAATGATTCAAGATTATTTCAAAGTAATTAATATTTTGATATTGTTATGCTTGATTTTTTAAAGATTATTATTATTTCTTATTCAATTTTGTTAATATTTACTTTTACAATTTATAGTTTTATATTAATTTTAGTATTACTAATCTAAATAAAATAGTTTATTATTTAGTTTATTTTTTTATTTTTTTTTATACATCTAATCAGGCCATAAATTCAAGTTTATTTGTATTCAAACTGATGGGTTTGAATTGATTTGGAATACAAATGGGTAGATATATATAGTATTTAACAGATTTATACTAAAGGTTAAACTTATTTTCTTTATATAACATATCTGTTAATAGCCATTGGCCTTTAGATATAATTAAGAAGAATGAAAAAGTTGCTCTATCTTGATTAACATTTCTTATTAATCTCAATATCATTATCAGTTTTTTATCAAGACTGTTATCCCAACTTAACCTCTGTGGTCCTAAGATATAAAATTATTATTATTTTTTTTTGAGAAGCTAAAAGAGAAAGGTAAAGAGGAAGGAGAAAAGTTTCACTGATAAAATAAAAACTTATCAAAATCAATTACTAGCCTAATGAGAGCCTTCTTTGACCTTAAGGAAAAAAGAAACTGGCATAAGAGAGGAGAAGAAGAATTTTCAAACACTTCTTATCAAAAGGATATTTTGATGTCTTACTCTTTCGCTTTATTCAATTATATTATCGGTTATAATATAATATGATATGGGGCATGTGTAGGTACGTGTTTTGTTTATATTTCTTTTACTTATCGATCAATCAATCCAAGATTTCAATCAATTATCAACCAGAGAATCCAGTGTAACAAAAAATTCAAGATCAAATTGAGGTAGGCAAAATTCTTTCAAAAAAACCAAGAAAATTTTGATATACTTAAAAGTACTACTACAGATATATATAATTGATAACAAAGGATTATATATTTGAAAAGTAGATTCCTATTAATTTATTCATCTGCCTGGACTACAGAGTTTTTAACTTATAGTAAATCCAAGGTTCTTATAGAGCATGAGAAATATATTTACTTAACAGATCCAACTAACTTATCCACTTGCCTCAGGACCAAAATGTTCACTTATGATGGATCCAAGGTTCTTATGAAGCTTGGAAAATATATTCACCAATGGTTTACATTTTAGAGTTTCAGACCTTAGAAGAGAATAGTGGAGAATATTTTTTGACAAGTTTTTTCTTCCCAGAAAGGTATTCTTGCCATAAATCAAATAAATAAAGTTTTGTTTATTTTGTTATTGGAATATACAAAGTTTTTTGAAGAAAAAAGAGTAAACAAGTAGAGAAGGCACTAGCCTTTAGGGAATAAGGTTTTTAAGGAAAGTATATAAACTTTATTATCAAAAATAAAAAAATATTTTTGAGAATATCTGTTTTTTGGATTGACAAGGGGATTAATGAAAAGACAATATAGTTTATTATTTAGTTTATTTATTAATTATTTTTGCCAAAACATTTATTTTTACTTTAAATATATTAATTATTTTGATAAAATTATTAATTTTATTATAATTAATTAAATAATTATAAACCAATATATTAATATATACTAATATATATTGTATTTTTAATTTCTCTTGAAATTTTAAGATTAATCTTGATTTTATTAATAAAATATCTTGATTTTTATAATTTTTTTGTTTTTTTTATTTGATTTATCAATTTTAAAATTATATTACTTTTTAGTTTAATATCTTTTTATTATTAATTTTTTATTTTTATTTTTTTCTTAAAATAAAAATAAATTTAAAATTATTTAATTTATAAAATTTTATAAATTAATTATATTTTTTTAAAAAATATATATATATTTATTTATTTTAATATAAATATAATTTAAAAAACATTTAGTAACTCTTTTCGCTAATTCTCTTACCAATCCAAAAACAAATGTTCTCAAAAGTAATTTTTTATTTTTAATAATAAAGTCTATACACTTTTCTTAAAAACCTTACTTTCTGAAGGCTAGTGTCTCCCTTACTTGTTTACTCTTCCTTTTTCGAAAAACTTTATATATTTCAGTAACAAAATAAACAAAACTTTACCCATTTGATTTATAGCAAGAACACCTTTCTGGGAAGAAGAAACTTGTCAAAAAATATTCTTCACTATTTTCTCCTAAAGTCTGGAACTCTAAAAAGTATACCATTAGTGAATGTATTTCCCAAGCTCCATAAGAACCTTGGATCCATCATAAGCAAATACTTTGGTCTTGAAGCAGGTAAATAAGCTAGTTGGACCTGCCAAGCGAATATATTTTCCAAGCTCCATAAGAATCTTGGGTCCATCATAAGTTAAAACTCCTATGGTTTAGGCAGGTGAATAAGCTGGTAGGAAACTATCCGTTTGGATTTATGATCTTTTTCACTAGTTATACATGTTTGTGATAATACTTTCAAGTGTGTAAAAATTTTCTTGATTTTCCTGAAGAATTTTGCCTACCTCAGTTTGACTCTGAATTTTTTTTTATATAGATTCTCTGGTTGATGATTGGTTGATCAATACGTAAAAAAAATGTAAACAAGACACGTACCCACACATGCCTTACATTATACCATATTATAACTGATGATATAATTGGATAAAGCAAAAGAGCAAGGTATCAAGATGTTCTTTTGATAAGAAGTGTTTGGAAGTCTTTCCCCTCCCCTCTTGTACCGGTTTCTTTTCTCCTCAAGGTCAAAGAAGATTTTTATTAGGCTAGTAATTGGTTTTAATGGGATTTTTATTTTACTAGTACAAACTTTTCTCTTTCTTCTTTTATCTTTTCCTTTTACCTTCTCAAAAAAAAATAATAATTTTATACCTTAGGACCACAAAAGTTAAGTTGGGGTGACAGTCTTGATGAAGGACTGGTGATGATATTGAGATCTATAAGAAACGTGGGTTAAGATAAAGCAACTTTTTTATTCCCTTTAATTATATCTAGAGGCCAGTGGCTATTGACAGGTGTGTTATATAAAGAAAATAAGTTTAGCCAGTAGTATAGATAGGATTGATACTATATATATCTTTAATATTTGTACTAGGGCCTATTCAAATCATATCAGATTGAATAATAATAAACATGAAATTTATGACCTGATTAAATATAAAAAAAAAATATATATATATATAATTTAAAAAACATTTAAATTAAATAATATAAATTATAAAAATCTTTTAATAATAAAAATATTTAAATTATATTTTTATTTTTAAAATTATAATCAGATTGAAATTATTTATTTATTAAATCAAAAATTATCACAAGTATGAAAATATATATAAAATATAAATTTTTTCCATTCAACTTATTTATTAATAATTAAAATCTCTAAATATTATTTATGAAAGTAATATATTGTTTTTTTTTAATAGATAAGATTAAGATTCAAAACTTTTAATAAAATCAAAACTTACAAATTATTTTTATAGTTACAATTATAAATTCAACTTTCTTTAATCAATCTGTTTAATTTTTATTCAAATTATATCAATTCTCTCTAGCCAATCTATTTAATTTCTATTGAAATGAAAATATTCAAGAATATTTAAAAATATTTTCAAGAAAATATTTTTTAAAACTTTATATTTAAAGACTTTTAATTAAAAAGAATATTGATTTTTTATTATTGATTTTTTTTTCAAGTTATATTTTTTGAAATTATTGCTTTATTTAATTAATAGATAGTTTCAAGATTTATTTTTTATTTTATTACAATAAGTATTAAATATAAGGCTTTATTAAACAATATGTTTGTTATCATTACATTAATAATTTCATATATCAAAAATGCAGATTAATCATAGCCTATTGCAGAATTATTATTGACATCAACTTATATCAAAAAGATGGATTCATATTAATAGTGGTTTAAAATAGCTAATATTCATTTATAAACAGCTAGATTAGTATAGAAAAAAATAAGATTTTTAGTGATTGGATTTTGAATATGTTATTTGGATCCATAAAACCATAATGGTAGCTTTTTTTGGTTAAAAATTTATTGATTGGATTTTAATATTGTTATTTGAACCTGTGAAACCATATTGTAACTAATTAAGAGCTAAATGAGACATATAAAAAGTCCTGTTTTTTCATATAAATATGACATTATAATTGTTATTATATTAATTAAAAAAACTATTGGAGTATTGTAATATGGAATTGTTATTGTTATTGTTATAAATAAGCTTAAACTAATTTGATTATTATTGTATTGAATTATTGATATATGATTAATTATTAATTGTATATTAATTATTTGAAAAAATAAAACTAATTTGGATTTTTGAAATTTA